ACGTCATACAGTCGCCCAGCATCTGTATATGCCTGTAATCCACCGACATGCCAAAATGTTTCATAATAACATCAATTTCCGACATGATCGATTTCCGGGCCGCCTCGATTCCAAGCACACTCTGGACCTCCAACACGTGATTGCTCACAGACTTCTCCGCCACAACGCCTTCGATTCCCATCACATCCTGAAGTCCATAGCCTTCCACCAACAAAGAGTATATAGTGTCCTTGCTCCCATCCTTCGCCTCCTCTTTATTCACCACTACTCTACTGCATTGCTTCAAACCTTTCACTGGAGCTTGGGGAAGGGCATTCCTCAGAGCTTGCACTTCAAACCACAGCGTCTCAGGGTTCGGCGGCAGAGTTCTTCCCCGACTGTCAACAGCCCCGGCAGGTCTAATGGCCAGCTTCAGTTTGCCGCGTGATTCGATACATTCTGGTCGTATTTTAAGTCCGCCTGGTAAAGCTCCTTTGGCACAAAGAGCTTCCTTCAACTCGTCCATAGTCAAATCCAACTGCATTCGACGAAGTGTCTCACCACAAAGCTTCACTATGAGGTACACTCCAGAGGGCTCGTACACCTAATGTAAGATAAGTTCCGAAAGAGATGGTATGAATAAGCACATACCTGTTTAATATACTCGCAGATATCCCCAAGGAGTGTCCTTTGAATCTTACTCTTCACCATAAAGGCCGCGGCTTCAACTCGATCTTGCTCCAGCTTGCCTGAAACCAGTGTTCGAATATATGTTTACTCTCCTCAGCAGAGCTCGACAGTTTCATCACTAATCATAGGAGTCTATTCACAAAGAATTTTACAGCAATTGCTACGTATTCCCTCAGAATTTCATATTGTCACCAACACATGTAGTTGACAATGTGTATACTTTCCCACACTGCCTTCAACCATCACCACAAAAGATACTCTCCACGCACAGCGAAGATTTCCTTCCCCTTCCCCTACATGAAATGATCGGTGTCGATATATGCTTAGCAGCATTAATAATCTCCTTAATCCGAGGCACTCCCAACGTCACATTCATACTGGCCACCCCCGCAAAATGGAAGGTCTTCAACGTCATCTGGGTTGCCGGTTCGCCGATACTCTGCGCACTTGTAGCTCCCACCGCTTCGCCAGGCTCCATCAACGCTCTCCTATACTTCCTCGCACACGTCGTCATGAAGGACCGCAACTGAGCCTCCGTCAGAGCGCAGCTCAAATCACACAATGTACTTTCCCTCGGATCGTCCCGAACCCTATCATCCACTGGTAACCCAACTTTAACTCTCTCCTTTTCCATCTCACTCGCCATACCCCCGATGAACTCAGTCAGATCTCCCGTAAACCTGCTAGTGTCCAAGGACGTCAGCGGACATATAGACTTAACCTCTTGATCAACCTGCTGTATCAGCTCGTTCGTCAGCGCCCTATACTCGCTAGGCAACAAAGCAACCTCTCTAGTATGGTGCTTCTCCACCACGTGCTGCACATGGTTCATCGTATGTTCGAAATTCAACGGCTTGCTCTTTCCCTCCATCATCGCTGGATTCAGCCCATCGTCTCCAAACACGAACTGTACAACCGTGCCATCGCTAGTTCTCACCGTCATATCATATTTCAACCCCAGATCCTCTAACGCCTTGATCAGCTTCCTCTGCATATACCCGGTCTCAGCCGTTTTCACCGCCGTATCGACAAGCCCCTCTCGCCCTCCCATCGTATGGAAGAAATATTCAAACGGATTCAATCCCGAGAAGAAACTGTCTTCCACAAAACCCCTAGACTGAGGCGTCTTCGAGAACTTCTTAAAGTGCGGCAAAGTCCTGTTCACAAACCCATTTTGAATTCGCTGACCACCGACATTTTGCTGGCCCAAACACACGATCATCTGCGACAGGTTTATAGGACTTCCCTTAGACCCGCACTGTGCCATAATTCGCGGCTTATTAAACCGCGGCAACACTTTCTCCAGCCTGTCACCGACTACATTCCTGATTTTTCCCAATTCGCCGTTAATCACAGCTTCCAGAGTTTGCTCTGCGTTGCACCCAGGCTTCAACGGCAGCTTCCCTTTCCTGTACTCCTCAATTTTCTCATCAACATACGCGTATTTTTCAGCCACCTGCTCCTTCTTAAACGCCTCAATTTCAGGACTAGCAGTAACATCGTCAATCCCAAAGGACATACCTCTCGTGCCCAACCAACGTGCCGAGAGCTTCGACAAGCGGCCCAAGCAGGCCGCCGCCACCGCAGGGGAATTATCGCGGATCAACACGAACGTCAGGCCGGGTTTCGACCCACCCAGAATTTTCTTCCCCAAATTCCCCGCGATAAGCTCAGAGTTATAAAAGATGACATAACCATCATTTCGGCAGAAGTAAGGATCGCCGTGACTGTAGTTCTTCTCGGCCATTTCCAAATTTACGAGCACCTACCACACAAAACGACCCAGTAGTGAAGGAATATATGTTCGCTCTCTTCAGCTGATTCCGGGAGTTTCCTCACTAATTATAGAACTTTTCACACAAACTCGGACGGAAATGTACAGAAATCGACCAAAATTTCCCCAAATTTCCTCTGAATTTTCGCATATTTCCTATACTGCATACACCAACTCGAAACGCTCCCTCCCATTACCGTGCTCTTGTGCGAGGGCCTCAGCATCAGCGATATCAGCTGCTTGCCGGTCCACAGCTGAATAGGTTTCATAATCTACCAATGCACGATAAACCTAAAGCGACACACCTCAGCATTACCGTTGGAGGCGGCAACTCCAGCGTTTCCGCTGCCTTCCCAAAATACCTAAAAGGTGGTATGAACATATTGATATATACAGCCAACATATCAAAATAAAAAAATATTCTATGCAGTTTTAGCATATAGTTGATATCTATCAATTCAATGGAGTTTCACCCGTTCTACAAGGAGTGGCGTAAAACTCGGTGAAAAACGCGATATTCGCGGTGATATGCAGTAGTCGTGAAATATGTTTCTCACTAGTGTTTTTCATATCACTCCAATACAGTAATATGATCGGGAGCGTCACCTTCAAAAAGTCCACCATATTACATAGCAATGTTCGCTATCTTATCCTTAGTAAGGAAGGTGTCCCTTTGGGTTAACAACCACGCTGACGTGAGGAAGTCCTGAGTAGCTGCCACTATCGGCTCTCCATTCTTCGACGTAATCAGGTTGTTCTGAACTCCCATCAACGCCAACGCCTCCGCTCGAGCCTCCTGGGTTTGCGGCAAATGCACGTTCATCTCATCGCCATCGAAATCCGCATTATATGGGGAGCACACACACTCGTTGAAGCGGAAGGTCCTCCACGGCATCACCTTAGCTCGGTGAGCCATAATACTCATTTTATGCAAACTCGGCTGGCGATTGAACAGTACCACGTCCCCGTCCTGGAGGTGCCTCTCAACCACATCGCCATACTGCAGGTCCGCCGCCAACTCCTCTCTGATTTGCTTCTTTATGAAGGCCAAGTTCTTAACACCACCACTTTTAAGCCGAATGATGTGTGCTCCTGGATGGCCCTCCGTGCCTCGAATGACTCTATCTCTGAGCATGTCGATATTGGTGCGACATACAACCTCGGGAAACGTCAACTTCATCGCCGAGTACTGTGGGATGATAACCTCAGTGACTTCGAGATTCGGGTCCGGACTAATCACAGTACGACCGGAAAAATTCACTCGTTTTCCCGAAAGATTTCCTCGAAAACGCCCCTCTTTTCCCTTCAACCGAGAACATATACTTCTGATCGGTTTAGTCGTAGGAGCAGCAGCTGCCAACCCAGTCGCCTCCGAGTTCATCATCAACGCCACTTGGGCTGATAGCCACTGCCACTGCTCGGCCACTTGCTTCAACGTCCCTCCCCTAGATAGAGTAGCTTTGATGTTATTGTTGGTAGCCACAATATCGCTCGTCTGCACCGACAAATCGTCTTCTTGAGTACCAGCATCACCGATCTGAACACTAGGGCGAATGCAAACCGGCGAAACAGGCACGTGCGTGACAACGAGTCGCTCCGGCTGAGGCGGTAACTTTAGCATTTCTTGATCGGAAGGAGGCATCTTGGCCAGCAACGGGAGCAGATGGAGAGGAGTGAGGTCCTCATAAGCCACTTTGCTGAGGTGATTGCCGATTTCGGGGTTGTTATTGACGGCATCTGAGTACTGCTGTTGATACTCTACCTTAGCCTGGTCCTTGGGGAGCTCATGGACAAGCGTCATATACCCGCGAGTACCCTTCTTGACAGCACCATTATAGGCATCGCAGTAGGGACATTGTCGCACTTTTTTACAAGTGTCGACGAGCTTGCGAAAAACTCCTTTTTGTTGCTGCACGTCCTTAGTGGCCTTCCTCGTCCTGTTCAACCACACCGACCTCTTCTCGGGCGCCAGCAGCACTCTACCACAACGCTTGCAAATGGCAGATAGGAGAAGTTGTACGTGGCGAAAGTAACCGACGTGGAAAACGGGTAAGACCAGTTTGATAGACCCAAAGTGACCAGGACACTCCCTGAAATTCTTCCCACAGGTTTGACAGTCGCTCATCCTATTCATAGCACCGAGACGAGGGTCGTGACAACCCAGAGCGAGCTGCTTGTGGGTCATCGGGTCGAAATAGCCTTGGTTCAGCACTTCAACTTCGCCGTATTTAGAGATTTCCTCGCCGGACATGATGCCGAAATCAACGCCTTTGATAGCATAGCTCTCCCCACCGTTCTCATCGGAAGGTATGGGTTCTTTGATGAGGTACTCGAGGCCGACGTCCTCAGCGTCAGTACTGCCTTTGGGGGTCTCTACCACCTCCATGGCAGT